TGTACAGGTGAGGTCCCTTTAAGCACGACCTCAGATAGCCTCAAGAAACAGCCACACAAAATATCTGCTGACATGATGCCCTGCCTGAAGTAGTTCCAGGTGACCGTAAATGTGAGTTAGTGTCCAATCAGTGTGGATGCTCTGCTTTGAAATAGCTAAGCACTAGTTCAATGCGCATTTTGTGTGTAGATGTGCTATTTTGAAATAAGCTATTTCAGAAAATATCTTCTAGAATAGCTTATTTCAAAATTAATGTTCAGTGTAGACGTAGCCTCAGACTTTTCAAACTACTTAAAAAAGGCTGGAAGTAAAGGTCACATGTTTTTATGTCTGTCACTTGAAAAATTGAATAATTCATACAATAGGGAGCATGCTAATTAATATTGTGCAAAATCATATCCTTGCATTTACTGTGAGTAAGCATGGAAATACAATTATTCCAAAATGTCATAGAATTACATTACAGATCTCCCATTCTTCAGTAAATAAGTAGATAGATAGAATGTTATAAGGTGTTTCAAGTCTAGTGATTTGCTCCTTTATTACATTTAGCTGTATGAAATAATATTAATAGTATTTCAAGACAGTTACTCATTTCACTTTTAGGTTTAAAAAGTATTAAATATATTGAGCACCTTAAAAAATGACAGCTCGCCTCCTGAACATAAAATATTCATAACAGCTAGTGTTATGAAGAGCAAGAAAATATTTAACTTGATTGATTTGTGTTTCCTTGAGAGTTTGAAATAATTGCAACTTTACAATTTGTTGAATGTGAAACACATCACTAATTGAAGGAAAGAAACTGGGGCTCTTTTCTGAAGTCTGTTTTATCAAACAAAATTAAGTTGTAGTGGCTGGAGTGAGTCTTTGTTTTGGATTGAATTGTGAACTCATCTGCTACCAAGAACTGAGAGTTTAAAGATAAACTAGGGTTTTTTCCATGAAAAAAAAAGTTTTTCCAAGTAAGGACTATAAAAAGAAAGGACGTGTACTTCCCATCAATGATTCTTTTCACTCATTATCTTGGAAAAAAGTCCATTTGTTTGAACTTTTGCCTTTTGCTGGTTAGGAAGTCAGTATTTCCTCACTTCCCCACTTTTCCATGACTGCTCTGACTCACATCTTGAGCTGAATTCGATTTGTAAGAGCAAATCAACACTGAACTAACTAATGTACAGTGCTAGTGCAACAACATTGGGCAGGGGAATAAATTATCATGTCTACAAATAATGCATTTCTGTGATTAAAGGAGAACATCCCACTATCTGGAAATATCCCCCCTCCAAAAACAACCAATAACAGTGCCAGGCAGGATTTTAGTGTTTATCAAAGGATATCATAAACAGCTCAAAAAAGATCAAAACTAAGCACTTTTTGCTGAAATGTTCAGAGTTGCCAAGTTCCCAAATCACATCGAATATGAATGGTTGCGAGGTGCCTTTCTCCTCTCAGCTCTTCTGAAAATTATAGCTAGAATGCACAGATACACTGTACACACAATTAATATAATTTCACCTACGTTTAAAATTAGTGGACTGAATGGTTCTTTAATCTTTTGAAATAATCAGAGAGGAGGATTTGGGAAACCTCACCTAGCACAGACTGAATGGTTCTTTAATCTTTTGAAATAATCAGGGAGGATTTGGGAAACCTCACCCAGCACGAGACCAGAGGGACTGGGGGAGGGTCAAAGGTAAGAGTAGCACATGGCAAGCAAAATGAAGAGAGCAGTAAAAGAGAGAGTGAGGAAGATATAGAAATTCAGAATAAAAGATAATAGGAAAGAGGAAGAATGTTTAAATTTAGGAAAAGGGGACAAGATCAGAATGGAAAGATGGGAGGAGTCAAACTATGAAAAGGACAAGCCATTTTAAAATGTTAATATAAACTTCTTTACTCTCATTGCCCACTATTCTGCCAGGCTGTGTCTAGACTGGCCAGTTTTTCCAGAAAATCAGCCGCTTTTCCAGAAAAACTTGCCAGCTGTCTACACTGGACACTTGAATTTCTGCAAAAGCACTGACTTCCTACTGTAAGAAATCAGTGCTTCTTGCGGAAATACTATTCTGCTCCCGTTCAGGCAAAATCTTTTGCACAAAAGGGCCAGTGTAGACAGCTCAGATTTGTTTTCCTCAAAAAAGCCCCGATTGCAAAAATGGCGATCATGGCTTTTTTGCGGAAAAGCGTGTCTAGATTGGCATGGACACTTTTCCGCAAAAAGTGCTTTTGTGCAAAAACATCCGTGCCAATCTAGATGCTCTGTTCCGAAAATGCTTTTAATGGAAAACTTTTCCGTTAAAAGCATTTCCGGAAAATCATGCCAATCTAGACGCAGCCCCAATGTATTTGGTTAAGCATTTCTAAACAGGGTCTCATAGGAAACAATATTTTCCATGGCATTATTCAAAGCAGTAGAGATAAGGCAGATTAATTTCAAAAGTAATTAGATTTTGAAAAGTTTGCAAAAATCACCAGAGGGAAATAAAGAGAACATTCAATATTGTATTGGTTATTTCAGTAAACTTAAAAAGTACAGAGGTGGAGTCATTCTGGACTAGATTTGTGAGGGCACTATGCAGCAAATTGAAAACCTTCTTTCCAGTTTCTTTCTGCTGGTATTTTGGTGGCCCATAAACCATATCTTAGTTGCTAATTGCAGGTCATGTGGTACTTGCCTTCACTTCCATCAAAATTAGTAGATTTTATTCACATTAGGGGACAGGCAGAAAATCAGTTTGCTTTTTCCATATGATTGTCTTCAGGATCATGTGAACGAAACTTCCCAAACCTCCCAACCATGCTAAAAGGGATCTTTGGAATCAGAGGTGTGATTAACAATTGCCTCCTGCCTACCTTAGTTATTGAGCAGTGGCCTCCCTGCTGTGATAAATCAGAGTTATGGAAGCAACAGCAATTACTGAATTTCTGACAGGAGCCATTTCTTTAAAAAGAGTAATGGAGAGGGAGTTGTCACAAACTACTAATGTGAAACACTAAGGATCACATGATGCAGTTTAAAGTTTTGATAATTATGCTTTTAACAGGTACTACTACAATTGAGAAATATGACCTTAGGACAAACAGTTGGATACAAATTGGTACCATGAATGGCAGACGATTGCAGTTTGGAGTAGCAGTAATTGAAAACAAGCTTTATATTGTGGGAGGAAGAGATGGCCTGAAAACTTCAAATACAGTTGAATGTTTCAATCCAGCTACCAAAGTCTGGACTATAATGCCTCCAATGTCAACACACAGACATGGCTTAGGTAAGAGAGTTACTGTACAATATATATTGCACCACATTTACAGATTAATAATACTGGTTTTAAGATGATACAAATAAATACCATTTTTCTTAAATATTTACTGAATATAAAACAGTGTTTATACAGGATATTTTTCAAAGCCAGCTACTTTCCCACTGGTATAAAATCCTCCCTCCAGTGTTTGTTATTTATCTAAAAGGGTATGTCTACACTACAGTGTTATTTCAAAATAGCTTATTTTGAAATAACGCGTCTACACACAAAATGCATTTCAAAATAGCATTTTGCTATGTGTCCACCCTGAGTGGACTCTGAATCGTATTTAAGGCTGGCCGGAACCAGTTCCAGCAGGGAACCAGGTCAGGAGTTACTGTGTGGGGCTGCTGCCTGTGGTCTGTGCTTAAAGGGACCCCCTTCACCCTCCCGGACATCCAGTTCTCAGGTTTCCCTGCTTGCTTGTCTACCTCGATGAGGGACAGCAAAGCATTTTGTCTCTGCGTGCTCTGGTTGCCCTCACTCAGGACACCACAGCACTCTGCAACATAGAGCCAGAGCTGCCCCAGGGCACTCTGGTGCTTCTCTTGGACGCATTGCTGCGAGCCTGGCTGCACGTTTTGCAGGCTGCCATCCAGGAGGTCCATCGGGGGGCTGTCAGAATCCAGGAGGCCCTGCTGGAGAGCTTCCACCCTGAGGAGCATTAAGAGCCTCCCTGGTCTGCCCTACTAGGGGTTTGGGCCTCATTCCTCCCTCACGACCTTCCATTTACCCATCTCTAACCCCCCTTCCTGATGTCAATTAAAATACATGTATTTTCATGAACACAAACTCTCTTTATTTAACAAAACTGGGGGTGGGGAGGGACTGGAACTCTGGTGAGACTGGGAAAAGGAGGCAGGAGAGGGGAGAAGAGAGGGTGGAAACCTGGGAGGAGGGAGCTGGAAGGAGGAAGCAAAGGGAAGAAGGGGGAGGGGAAGCTTAGGGTTGGGGGGTCTCGCCAGACCAACTTGATTGTCATGCAAACCTGCTCCTGGGTTCGCATATAGCCTTTGGTGGCCAGGCTGGCAGCTATCCTGCCATAGATGGCCGCGTTCCTCCATCTAATGCGGAGATCCTGGATGTTGGGGGCATCCCCCCCAAAGCTGAATAAGGTCCATTATCTCCACCCTGGACCAGGAAGGCACCCACCTTCTCCGGGCCCTGGCAGACTCCTGGCTCTGGGCTGGCAGGCTTGGCACTGTGGCCAGAGTCAACCCCTTTAAGGGCTCCAGGGAGGGGGAAGGGAGAGAAGTGTTCTTGGTTGAGGCTGGAGTGGTCACCAGGGCACCCTGGGAAAGCTGGAGCCCCCCTATTTCGAAATATGTGTCTATACAGCACTTATTTTGAAATAGCTATTTCAAATGTGGTGTTATTCCTCGTAGAATGAGGTTTACCAAATTCGAAATAAGTGCCCCGCTATTTCAATTTAATTTTGAAATAGCAATTGGCTTGTGTAGATGCTAGGAAAGTTATTTCAAAACAACAGCTTTTATTTCGTAATAACTTTGCTCTATAGACATACCCAAAATCTTGCACTGGCCTTCCATTGTAAAACTACATATAAAGGTAAAATAATAAATTAGTAGGAAATTCTAAAGTCCCTCTGACTATCTAGGGATCCATTTGCAATACACAATGATCTTACAATGTCATATACTTCATAGCACCGCTGAAAATAAGGCCCTATGACACATTAATTAAATATAAATATGCAAAATCCAATCTATTTACAAACATCCTATAATCAACATACTTCACAAAACCCAATTAATTTGTCTTTTCAATTTTATTCAGAAAAAAACTATGCTTTTACTTTACCAGTTATCCCATTGCGAGAGCTTATAAAACTTAATGTGCCTTGAGACTTGATATTGTATATCAAATCAACAATTGCAAACAATCAAAACAGGGACAAATTTAAGGCTGGATGTGCAATATAAGCAGGGGTTCAAAAAGTTGAAAATCCTTCTTTGGGATAATTTGTAGTATATGAATTAAGAGGGCTTTGATTCTAGAAACAACTTTTTCATGAAAATCTTTGAGCTGTTCATAAAGCTAGGTATTATTGTAAACACAATAAGAATAATAATTTAAAAAGTAAAAAAAACTGGTGATTTTGATTCATAACCAATCAAGCACCCCAGGCATGTATTACCATTCTACAAAGTACTCTGTGCTGACCTCACAGCTTAATGCTCTTTCAGCTCAACTTTGCAACTATTTGCTTTGAGAAAACAATGGACAATAAAACAGGTGAAATCCTGGTCAAAATTAAATCAATTGGAGTTTTACTATTGATGTTAGTGGGGCAGGATTCACCCACCATATAGGCTATAATATTAAAACCCAAATGTTTAAAGTTAGGTTCTTAAATTAGACTGATTTTCAAAACTGTCTTGCACCTCTAGCTACTATTAGCTTGAGTGAGATTTTGTGCCTTTTGAAAATTGGGCCATTTATATTTAGGTCTGTAGATAGGGATTTAAAAGCCTAATTTTAGGCATCCAAATTCAAATGAAACAAAGACATAAAGACATAACATAAAGCTTTCATATATAATATGAAGAACTATTCATTCCTAAATGGAATTGAGAAAACAAAGCTGAATAATACTTGTTCCTGTACCTAAATGCATAGCATCTATGATCTTATGTGTAAGTTCTAAACATATACTATTACTAACCTGAAGTGTTTGGTACAAATGGAAATGGCAAAACTCTGGAGACGGGAGTCTTTGAATGAAAATCAGTAATTTCCCAGCAGAAATTCTGAAATTGCATTAAGTGTATGGGACTTTCATTCTGCTCAGTGTCATGAAGCTTTATGATGGTAGAAATATATGTGGCCTCCCTCCCCACTGTTCCCAGGACTGGGGAGGCTCACGCCATGCATCCTCTTCCCTCCCCACTGCCCCAGGGATACTGGGGTGTGCTTGTGCTCTTTCCTTCCCCATGGTTGTGGGGGGGTACACATGGCCTTCTCCTTCCCCGCTGTTCCTGGGGGCGGGTAAGCTAGAGCTGTGTGGGCCTCTTCCCTCTCCACTGCTCCTAGAGGCAGGGGTGAGGAAGGAGCTGGTGCCATGCATCATTTTCCCTCCCTGCTGTTCCAGGGATGTTGGGGCACATGCACTCTTCCCCTCCCTGTGATGTGTGTGGGGTGGTGCATATGTGGCCTCCTCCCCCCCCCCCCACTTCTCCCAGGGCAAGGGAGGCTTTGGCCAGCTCGGGCTGCGGGACCTCCTCCCTCCCTGCTGCTCTGGGGAGGCTGGAGCACACGCACTCTTCTCCTCCCTGTGGTGGAGGAGGCAAGCATGTGCTTGGTGCACAGCTCCTCTTCCCCTCCCTGTGGTAGGAGCGGTGCATCAGCAGAGGGGGCAGGGCTGTAGGAGGGTGTCATAGCTAAGGAGAAGTGGCATGGCTAATGATAAATGCAGAAGTGGGGGCCAGCAATTACCCCAAAACCTTATCTACCAGGATTTGGTATAAAACTTCCCCCCAAAATCTTAAAAGTCTAGATTTTGGGAATAAAACTTCCGCTGCCACCACCCAAATTAATAAAGAAACCAGGAGAGAGACCATTTGGGAAAATCTCACCCCTAAAGTAAAAAGCAGGACACCACCATTAACCAATAACAGGTTACTAAAAGGAAAAGAGAAAACATTTATTATCACCACAATATTCCTGTTGCAAGCATAATGCCTAGATGGAAAAGTAACAAAATATACTCCGGGAGAACTCCATGGGCCTAGAACTTAATTACAAAGAAAAGCCAAAACATCTTTTTAAAAGTGCACAGACAGCAGATCCCATACTCAAACCATAAAACAATGAAACCTAATGGATTTATCTAAACTTTACCCTACTTACAGAAAGTGAAGAGTCTTTTCTTGGAGGGAGAGAGTTCGAACTAGGGTGGTAATGTAGGCAACCGGAGTTGCAAATGAAGCCCGGGATTTGAATTTCCCAGGCTTCATTTGCATAAAGCCGGGAGCCGCCATTTTTAAATGTCCGCTAGTGAGGACTCCGTGCTGCACAGCTACACGCTGCACAGACTAGGTAGTTCAGACTAGGCTTCCTATTCCGAACTACCATTACTCCTCGTTTCCTCATGTCTGTCCCCCTCAATAGCTGGAGAGAACTGCCCAGAGCAAAGGAGAGAAAAACCAAAAAATTCCTTTGTCCTAGTTTGAAATTCCTACCTACATTCCTACCTACATTCCACCTGGCTAGGTAAGGGAGGGTATGTCTACACTACACCCCTAGTTCGAACTAGGGGGGGTAATGTAGTCATACAGAGTTGCAAAGGAAGCAACTTTCCCGGGCTACATTTGCATAAATCCGGATGGCGCCATTTTTAAATGCTGAGTAGGTCGGACCCCGTGCCGCGCGGCTACACGTGGCACGGACTAGCTAGTTCGGATTAGGCTTCCTAACCGCGCGCCTGCAGGGGGCACGGACTAGCTAGTTCGGATTAGGCTTCCTAAGCCGAACTAGCTGTACACCTCATTCCAAACTAGCTAGTCCATGCCGCGTGTAGCCGCGCGGCACAGGGTCCAACCTAGCCGGCATTTAAAAATGGCGCCGGCCGGCTTTATGCAAATGAAGCCCGGGAAATTCAAATCCAGGGCTTCATTTGCAACTCCGTATGACTACATTACCCCCCCCAGTTCAAACTGGGGGGTAGTGTAGACATACCCGGACATCGTTAACCCCTTAGTCCCCAGGCTGCTGGCAAACCCTCATGATCATGACAGTGGGGTTGGGGGCCTGCCTCCCCCTAGCAACTTCTCAAGTCTTCTCAAATGTTTTCTATGACAGATAGTGTGACGTACGCCTCTCTTTTTATAATAGTATAAATTAACTAGAAGACTTACCCAGCTTTTCCTAGGTCTTTCAGGGCAGGGAACTGGCAGTGTGAAGGGTGCAGGAATCCAGGGATGGAGGGTAGGCCAGGGCAGGAAGCTGGGGGTGTGGAGGGGTGCAAGAGTGAGGGTTGGGGGGATGAGGAGGAGCTTGGGGCAGGAGGTCCCATCCAGTATAGCTTTCTTTCCTGCACTTGGCTGGCAGGGCCTTCTGTCTCCTCTTAGCCCTGCTTCCCCATCAAGGACTTTCTCTCTCTCCTCAGCCCCACCAGCCAGCTGGTCAGGGCCTTTCACACACATGCCCCAGCGCTGTGCCCAGTGGCTAGGGGCAGCGGGTTTGGGGTAGAGGGGATACTGACATTGTCTGGTGGCAGGCAAGATGGCGGAGCTCCAGCTCTTCTGGCCACTCTCTTGGTGGTGCAGCTGCCCCCAGTGGACACTCTGTATATAGCTCTTCCCTGCTCTTGCTGCCCCCAGTGGCTACTTTCCATATCACCTTCTCTCTCTTGTCCCCTTGTGGCAGCATATATACACCCTGTCACAGGGGCAAGGATATTCAGGGATGTAGACACCGCCCAATTGGCTGCAGGGTCACCGGCCGCCTCTATAATCCATAAATCTGCGTTTGCAGATCAGGGTAGCCAAGCACAGTGCTCAAGGTCAATGGTGTTATCCCTTTTCTCAGGACAGTACAGTCCACTGGTCAGAGTCCACTGTGGTCAGCCCTCACTCAGGGGCAGTATGGTCTAGTGTCCAGAGTCAGTAAGCAGCTCTGTTCTCAGAGTAATATAACCTAATGGCCAAAGTCAGTAGGCAGCCCTCATGTCAGAGAGCAAGACAGAGAATCAGAAAGTACCTTTGGTCGCAGGGCTAATTGCTAGAGTCAGCAAATAGCTCGTGTCACAGGGCAGCATGGAGAGTCAGTAAGAGCCTTTGTTACAGGGCAGTATGGCCCAATGGCCAGAGTCAATAAATAGTCCTTGGCTCAGGGTAGTATGGCCAAGTGACAACAGTCAGTAGGGATGGGGCAAGCACTCTGGTAGGGGGACCTGGGCCTACCCTGCTCCACCGTGTCCCAACCTAGGGTCCTGTGAACAGTAGAATGGTCTACTGCTCCTTCGGTGAGGAATCCAGCTGAAACACGCCGAGTACACCTGGCTGGGAGAGACTGCTCCAACACCTTCCCTGGGTCACTTCCTACCAGTGCCGACATCCCATATAGTGTCTGAGTCTCCCAGTTCCCCAACCATGGTTTCTCCCTGGGACTCTGCATGGGTTGTATAGCAGCATTCTCCTAGGACTCCAGTTCCTATGGACTAAGTCACTGGCTACTGCAGCTCAGGCACTCTGGCTGGGGGATCTATCTCCTTCACTGGCCCACCCAGACTGAGCTGCTCTGCTGCCTTTTATGCTGACCCAATATTTGGAGCATTCCCAGTATGGGTGAAGGGGTGGAACTTCTTCCGCTCACAGGATCTTAACCCCACCTGCTTCTGTGCAGGGTGTACACACACCGTCATACCCCTCCCTTTCCACATTTGGAAAACAGTCCCATTCCTGGCACTTCCCATTTTCTTTACAGAATCAAACCTTGCCTTACCTTTAAGTTATGATAAGAGGAAGCTGCATACCAAATTTCGTGGTCTTAGCTCTTACTACCTAGGAGGAGTTCTTGAACAAACAGGCTCACAGATGGACACGCATTTCATATCTAGATATAGATATGAAACAGGAAAAGCCATAACTATGACTGTCAATAAACAAATATTAGTTACTGAAATGTTCTGATATCAGATCTATTTTTGTCCCTAATTCTATTTTTCAAAGGGGTAGCAATGCTTGAAGGACCAATGTATGCTGTTGGTGGTCATGATGGATGGAGTTATCTTAACACAGTAGAAAGATGGGATCCCCAAGCACGACAATGGAATTACGTTGCTAGCATGTCAACTCCTAGAAGCACAGTGGGGGTTGCAGCATTAAATAGCAAGTATGTAAACAGACAAACCAGAAGGGTGGAGTAGAGGGTTGTTTACTTACTTTTGCTCCGCTTTGTGTGTGTTACAATTTACTTTTAATATTTAATAATTTCTTTTCTGAAGAGAACTTTGTAATATTGCATAATAGCAGAAAGACATAACATGCTAGACCACTACTCCTCAAAATATTATCTTTATGGTATTTTACCTATTCATAGTTATGCTAATTTGAAATACTACCACGGTCAGTTTTGAATTTTAGATTTTGGTCTATTCGCTTTTAAAGAAATGTTATCATTTTACTTCTTCCCTTTAAAATCAGCCACAGAGTGATGGTACATTGTCTAAAAGGAGCCACACAGCAAGCAATAATTACCCACAAAATACATAAATATTGTAAACCTAAGCTCCTATTTCCTAGGAAGCCCAAAATAAAGAATAGCAAATGAAATGAAGGGAAAATACTGAATGCAGAGCCAAGGAAAGGTTTTAATCACCAGGTTTAAAATAATTTCTACCCAGAGCCATATTTTTTACTCTTGTCAGGGTTTATATAGCTTTTCCTCTATCTAACTTAGAGAAGCTGAGTTCCATGTAGTTTATTGTGCATGGGTTTTTCAGATGAGAACTTAAAATAGGTGTTGCGTGTTTTACTTCAGAGTATCAGAAACTTTGAACAAAAATAGTTCTATCTATGCGTCTTTGGCCAAAAATTGCCCCTCCTCCCAGTATCGTGCAGTGAGACACACTTTTTATTTTCTTGCATTTTTCAATTCAATAAGGAGCTGCATCATTTTTGCAATTGATGAAGCATTTCCTAGATTGGTGTACAGTAGGATCAATTTTATCCTCCTTTCTCTACACAATAATCAGGAAGGAAACTGGAAAACCAGGTGAAATGGCCCAGCAGCTTTTGGTGAGAGGGGTTTGATTCTATGGAAACCTCTAGGTAAGATGTTTTATGGGCCATGGATAAACATGAAAAGATCCCTTAGACTACACCTCTCTGTATGCCTATGCTGTCACATCCATTTATATAGCTTTGAAGCAAATTATAACCCAAAAATGTGTAATGGAAGAAAGAAGCTGTCAAATGATCTTTGGTACAAACTTTCAACACACAAAATTGAGGATGTTACATTCAGACTACATAAAAGAATTTAAAGTACAGTATGGCTACGTCTACACTGGCCCCTTTTCCGAAAGGGGCATGTTAATTTCACAGGTCGTAATAGGGAAATCCGTGGGGGATTTAAATATCCCCCGCGGCATTTAAATAAAAATGTCCGCCGCTTTTTCCCGGCTTTTAGAAAAGCCGGAAAAGAGCGTCTACACTGGCCCCGATCCTCCCGAAAAAAGCCCTTTTCCGGAGGATCTCTTATTCCTACTTCAAAGTAGATTGATCTCAAAATAGATTGAGATCAAGTGAGATTGATTTAGCTCCAACCACTGTCTTCCAACTTGGTGAAAGGCTTCCATGTCAATTTTAAAGAATTTGTTCCTTGTTTCTCCATTGTCTAATTTTTTAAAGTGGTGCTGCTGAAATTAGAATATTTGACTAATTACTAACCACACCAGAAAACATTTTAATTGAGTTTCAGTACACACAATGTGTTTTGCCCAAGTAACACTTCGCAGTAGTATTTTGTCTTTTCCCATCAGAGAAAGGGAGAGGTACATTTTACATTTATTTTTAAAATATATCCATTACATTGCAACTGGGTATATATTCTTACATTAAGAGAAAAATATTATTCAGGTATGTACCTCCTCTTCCAAAACAGCTGTGCAAGAAGGTGAGGTTTATCCATTGCCATGAATTAAAAAATGCAACCATCACAAAATCTAACCAATGAAAAGAGTGTCAGACCCAAAGAAACTGCCACAAGCATACAAATGTTAAAATGTAAGTGGTTGAGAGTAAGAAGTTTGGTTCCAAACAGCATTTCCTTGCTAGGTTTTGTGAAAGTATATCATAATTTCACCTGTAAAGATGATGTTTGTGTGAATAGATAACGATTTCTCTGGTGTGTAGTATAAAGTCATTCAAGGTTTGAAAGATCTATGTGAACTTGAGCTATATTTAAAAGTGAATAGGAATCTCGTGCAGTATTTCAAGCACATCTTCCATTTTTCCTGTGTCAGGTACTATTAAGTAAATACACTTCTCTCTTCCTCACATATGTAATATCTGAGCAATTTTCAAGTAGCAATTGTAGAAGTCTAATAACTCAAAGAGAAAGCAAAGAGATAATGTTCATATCTGAATTAAATTCTCACACTAATCACATCAAGCAACTGCAGTTGCTGAGCAATCCTTAAGAATCAGCTGGAAATCCAAAAGGACCTTAGGATTTACAAAAGTCAAGCACCATTGCCTCCATACTTTCTGGGTGTGTCTCAACTACATGGTTTTTTCGAAAAAAGTAATCTTTTTTCGAAAAAACTTCCTCTGCGTCTAGACTTCAGCCACGTTCTTTTGAAAGTATATCGAAAGAAGGCAGCAGTTTTGTCACTTGCGGTAAACCTCATTTTATGAGGAATAATGCTTTTTTTCGAAAGTACTCTTTCGAAAAAAGGCACTATTGAATACAAACTGTGCTTTTTCGAAAGAGAACATCTAGATTCTTTCGAAAAAAGGCATTTTTTTGAAAGATTCTTTCGAAAAAGCCTCTTTGGAAAGAGGCTTGTAATCTGTTTCTCCCAACTAGTCAGAATCATTTGCATGTTATCTGGGTTGAACTTTAGACAGGTCATTTTAATCCAGGCCCTAATGCTAGCCAGGCACCTGGAAAACAAAAGGCACCATGCTGTTGAAAGAAAAATGTCATCTCAATATCAATGGCAAGACAGTGCAAACTACATCACTGTGGCCTCCACTGCTTCAGGCACATGTAATAGAAGGGATGATATAACTATTCTCTTCTGAAATAGAGGTTGAGGTCTTTCAGACTCAGGGAATGATGTCAAGTAATTAACTGATGTACGATGCAGTTATTATAGTTTTAAATTATTAGTGGAATAAAAACACTGTTTAACAATACTTGCTTAACAAGTCAACCATAAAAAACCATCATTCATATTATTTTTAAGACTATCTGTTTCCTGTTTTGTCTTTTCAGATTATTATAATGAATAGCTCATGTGGAAAAGATTCTTTAATCTTATTTTGCTGAACTACTTCAAATACTTAATAGTGAGATGTGCAAAAATGCAGTAGCACCTTTCCCTTTGAGACTAGTATCAAATTCTCCAAAAGATTGTGGAAAAAGAATCTTAGTGCAAAGTTTGTTCCAACTCTCCTTCAAAGAGATTATTTTAACATGTTTTAAATTAGGCTAAACAAATGACACCTCTATTAAAATGAACGTATAAAGACATAACATGTGTTTACAGCACTGGTTCATCCTCATGCTGAATGTTATAGATTGTATGCTGTTGGTGGACGGGATGGCAGCTCCTGCTTAAAATCCATGGAATGCTTTGATCCACATACTAACAAATGGAGTATGTGTGCTGCAATGTCTAAGAGGCGAGGAGGTGTTGGTGTTGCGACATACAATGGATTTTTATATGCAGTAGGAGGTCATGATGCACCTGCTTCCAACCACTGTTCTAGACTTTCTGATTGTGTGGAAAGGTAAGAAGTTTTGTTTTATTTATTTCTTTATTTTATTTTTAAGTCCCTGCACAACAAAGGATATAGCATAGCTTGGAGCATCACATTTGCAAAATTTATTACAATAGTAAAATTATAAAAATGCCAATAGGCTGGCAGAAGTAAGGAAATTTGTAGCACGTAAGGTGTTCTTCCCTATATACACATTAGTACTTCTAGATTTGCATTATAAAATCTATGGCTACATGCTTTACCTATCTTATGTTTTTAGCAGTAATAATGAAAGGATCAGAGTTATATAGGTGTTATATTAGTTTTATAGCCACTATAGCCGAATGTAAAATCATAGAATCCTAGGGCTGGGAGAGACCTCAGGAGGTCATTGAGTCCAGCCTCCTGCCCAAAGCAGAACCAACCCCAACTAAACCAACCAAGCCACAGCTTTGTCAAGCCGAGATTTAAAAACCACTAGGCTGGAGATTCCACCACATCCCTCAGTAACCCATTCCAATACTTCACCCCACCCCCAGTGAAATAGTTTTTCCTAATATCCAACCTAGTCCTCCCCCACTGTAACTTGAAACCATTGCTCCTTGTTCTGCCTTCTGTCACTACTGAGAACAGCCTCTCTCCATCCTCTTTGGAACCTCCCTTCAGGACATTGAAGGCTGCTATCAAATCCCCCCTCACTCTTCTCTTCTGCAGACTAAATGAACTCAAATCCCTCAGGCTCTCTTCATAGGTCATGTGCTCCAGCCCCCTAAACATTTTGGTTGCCCTGCACTGGACCCTCTCCAATGCTTCCACATCCTTTCTGTAGTGGAGGGCTCAGAACTAGACACAATACTCCAGGTGTGAACTCACTAATGTCGAATAAAGGGGAATAACAACTTCTCTAGATCTGCTGGAAATGTTCCTCCGAATGCACCCCAGTATGCCATTAGCCTTCTTGGCTACAATAGCACACTGCTGACTACCTTCTTGGCTACAAGGGCACACTGTTGACTCATATCCAGCTTTTCATCTACTGCAATCCCCACTTTCTTTTTGGCTGAACTGCTACTTAGCCAGTCAGTCCCCAGCCTGTAACAGTGCTTGGGATTCTTCCATCCCAAGTGCAAAACTCTACATTTGTTCTTTTTGAACCTCATCAGATTTCTTTCGGCCCAATCTTCTAATCTGTCTAGGTCACACTGGACCCTAACCCTGCCTTCCAATGTATCTACCTCCCCCGCTAACTTACTGTCATCTGCAAATTTGCTGAGGGTACCATCCATCACCTCATCCAAGTCATTAATAAAGATATTAAACAAAATCAGCTCTATAACCAATCCTTCAGGTACTCAGCTTGAAACCAACCACCAATCTGACATTGAGCCATGATCACTACTCGTTGGGCCCGACAATCTAGCCAGCTTTCTATCCGCCTTACAGTCCGTTTATCCAATCCATACTTCCTTAACCTCCTGGGAAGAATATTGTGGGAGACCATATCAAAAGATCTGCTAAAATCAAGATATATCACATCCACTGACTTCTCCATGTTGACAGAGCCAATTACCTCATCATAGAAATCAATCAGATTGGTCAGGCATGACTTGCCCTTCGTGAATCCATGTTGACTATTCCTGATCACTTTCCCCTCTTCCAAGTGCTTCAAAATGGATTCCTTGAGGATCCCCTTCATGATTATTTTGGAGACTGAGGTAAGTCTGATTGGTCTGTTGTTCCCTGGATTGTCCTTCCCTTTTTTTAAAAATGAGCACTACATTTGTCTTTTTCCAGTCATCCAGGACCTCTCCCAGTCTCCATGTCTGTGTCTACACTGGGCCACTTATTCCGGAAAATCAGCCGCTTTTCTGGAATAAGCTGCGAGCTGTCTACACTGGCCCTTGAATTTTCGGAAAAGCAACGATGCTCTACTGTACAAAATCAGCCGCTATTCCAGAAAACTGTTCCGGAAAAGGGCCAGTGTAGACAGCCCAGTAGTCTTTTCCAGAAAAAAGCCCCGATCGAGGTGTACCGGTAGTTCGGAATAGGAATCCTAGTCCGAACTACCTAGTTCGAGCCCCGTGTAGCCGCGCTGCATGGGGTTCGAACCAGCGGGGTTTTAAAAATGGTGGCTCCCCGCTTATGCAAATGAAGCCCGGGAAATTCAAATCCCGGGCTTCATTTGCACTAAGGGTATGTCTACACTACCCCGCTAGTTCGAACTAGCGGGGTAGTGTAGACATACCCTCTATCTGTTCTTTCTCCACCAAGGACTGCCCACCTCTTTTCCATACTGAGTTGTCTAGTGCAGTAGTCTGGGACCTGACCTTGTCTGTGAAGACAGAGGCAAAGAAATATTGAGTACTTCAGCTTTTTCCACATCGTCTGTCACTAGGTTACCTCCCTTATCCAGTATGGGCCCCACACCTTCTCTGATCACCCTCTTATTGCTAACATGCCTCTAGAAACCTTCCTTTTACCCCTCACATTCCTTGCTAGCCGCAATTCCAGTTCTGTTTTTGCCTTCCTAATCTCTCCCCTGCCTTCTCAAGCAATATATTTATACTCCTCCCTTATCATCTGTCCAGGTTTCCACTTCTTATAAGCGTCCTTTTTGTGTTTAAGCTTGCTAAGGATTTTCCTAGTAAGCCAATAGGGTCATCTTGCATATTTGCTTTTCTTATTGCACATCGGGATGGTTTCTTCCAGTGCCTTCAATAAGGCTTCTTTAAAATACTGCCAGCTCTCCTGGACTCCTTTCCCCCTTCATTTTAGCATCCCAAGGGATTCTGCCCCTCAGTTCTCTGATTGAGTCAAAATCTGCTTTTCTGAATTCAAGGATGTGTATTTTGTAAATGTAAATAGATTGGTTTTGGATGCTATGGTTCATATAGAACACAAATGAACAGTACCTTCAAGTTTGGGTTTGTGTATCCCACAGAAGCAGAATTCTGTATGTCAGCCCTATTCAAGTTTTACTTTAAGAAGGTAAATCAAATTAATTATATTTTCACCAACTCCCTAGGTTCATGGGTAATGGAAGACTAATTTATTCCTTTACATATCTGGCTTAGAAGCACATTATAGAATCATAGAATCATAGAGCTGGAAAAGCCCTCAGGGGGTCATCAAGTCCAGCCTCCTGCCCAAAGCAGGTCCAATCCGAGCTAAATCAACCCAGACAGGGCTTTGTCAAGCCGAGACTTAAAAACCTGTAGGGATGGAGATTCCACCACCTCCCTAGGTAACCCCTTCCAGTGCTTCACTACCCTCCTAGTGAAATAGTTTTTCCTAACATCCAACCTAGACCTCCCGCACTGTAACATGAGCCCATTGCTCTTTGTTCTGCCATCTGCCCGTACTGTGAAGAGTCTTTCTCCATTCTCTTTGGGACCTCCCTTCAGGAAGTTGAAGGCTTCTATCAAATACCCTCTCACTCTTCTCTTCTGAAAACTAAATAAGCCCAAATCCCGTCACTACTGAGAACAGCCTTTCTCCATCTCCTTTGGAGTCTCCTTTCAGGTAAAGGATGTTATCAAATCCCCCCTCACTCTTCTCTTCTGCAGACTAAACAAACTGAAATTCCTCAGTCTCCCTTCGTAGGTCATGTGCTCCAGCCCCCTACACATTTTGGTCACCATCCACTGGACCCTCTCCAATGCGTCCACATCGTTTCTATAGTGGGGGTCCCAGAACCGGGCACAATACTCCAGTTGTGGATTCACCAGAGCCACATAAAGGGGAATAATCATTTACCCTTCAGGAAGTTGAAGGCTTCTATCAAATACCCTCTCACTCTTCTCTTCTGAAAACTAAATAAGCCCAAATCCCGTCACTACTGAGAACAGCCTTTCTCCATCTCCTTTGGAGTCTCCTTTCAGGTAAAGGATGTTATCAAATCCCCCCTCACTCTTCTCTTCTGCAGACTAAACAAACTGAAATTCCTCAGTCTCCCTTCGTAGGTCATGTGCTCCAGCCCCCTACACATTTTGGTCACCATCCGCTGGACCCTCTCCAATGCATCCACATCGTTTCTATAGTGGGGGTCCCAGAACCAGGCACAATACTCCAGTTGTGGATTCACCAGAGCCACATAAAGGGGAATAATCATTTATCTAGCTCTGCTGGCAATGCTCCTCCTATTTCACCCTAATATGCCATTAGCCTTCTGGGCTACAAGGGCACACTGTTGACTCATATCCAGCTTCTCATCCACTGTAATCCCCAGGTCCTTTTCTGCCAAACTGCTACTTAGCCAGTCGGTCCCCAGCCTGTAACAATGCTTGGGATTCTTCCATCCCAAGTGCATGACTCTGCACTTATCCTTGTTGAACTTCATCAGATTTCTTTTGGCCCAATCCTCTAATCTGTCTAGGTCACTCTGGACCCTATCCGTGTCCTCCAGTGCATCTACCTCTCCCCCTAGTTTAGTGTCATCTGCAAACTTGCTGAGGGTGCAATCCATCCCCTCATCCAGGTCATTAATAAAAATGTTGAACAAAACTGGCCCTAGAAATCAACTGCCAAGCTGACATCGAGCCATTAATCACTACCCTTTGGGCTCAACAGTCTAGCCAATTTTCTATCCATCTTACAGTCCATTTATCCAATCCATACTTCCTTAACTAGCTGGCAAGAATATTGTGGGATGCCATCTCAAAAGCTTTTCTAAATTCAAGACGCATTACATCCACTGACTTTCCTATATCTACAGATCCAGTTACCTCATCATAGAAACTAATCAGATTGGTCCGGCATGACTTGTCCTTCGTTAATCCATGTTGACTATTCCTGATCACTTCCCCCTCTTCCAAATGCTTCAAAATGGATTTCTTCTAGATCCCCTCCATGATTTTTCCTTGGACTAAGGTGTGAGGGTGCAATCCATCCCCTCATCCAGGTCATTAATAAAAATGTTGAACAAAACTGGCCCTAGAAATCAACTGCCAAGCTGACATCGAGCCATTAATCACTACCCTTTGGGCTCAACAGTCTAGCCAATTTTCTATCCATCTTACAGTCCATTTATCCAATCCATACTTCCTTAACTAGCTGGCAAGAATATTGTGGGATGCCATCTCAAAAGCTTTTCTAAATTCAAGACGCATTACATCCACTGACTTTCCTATATCTACAGATCCAGTTACCTCATCATAGAAACTAATCAGATTGGTCCGGCATGACTTGTCCTTCGTTAATCCATGTTGACTATTCCTGATCACTTCCCCCTCTTCCAAATGCTTCAAAATGGATTTCTTCTAGATCCCCTCCATGATTTTTCCTTGGACTAAGGTGAGGCTGCCTGGTCTGCAGTTCCTTCTTTCCTTTTTTAAAGATGGGCACTACATTTGCTTTTTCCCAATCATCCGGGATCTCTCCTGATCTCCAGGAGTTTTCAAAGATAATGGCCAAAGGCTCTCAAATGACATTTGCCAACTCACTCATTACCCCCAGATACATTTGGAATGTTCCCTCCATAAATAACTGTTCTTCAAAGGTGAGCTTTATTCAAATACCTGACACAAGGCCTCTTCACCATTTAACTCCTACATTAACCCTCAAAGGTTTTACAGTAAAAGCTTTGCTATCTCTAATGTTGGGAGAGTGGGAGTGCTGGTTTCTCAGATATTCTGGTTAACTATAAGGCTACGTCTAGACTGCAGGGTTCTTTCAGAAGAAGCTTTTCCAAAAGACATCTTACGAAAAAACTTCTTCCAAAAGAGAGCTTCCACACTGCCAAAGCACATTGAAAAAGAAATCTGCTTTATCAAAAGATAGTGTCCACACTGAATGGATGCTGTCTCACATTTAAGCTGTGATTGCTATTGATGCAGTGGCCACCTGTGCTTTTTCCTCTTTCCTCTTCTTTCAAAAGAACTCCCTTTTCCCCATCCTCACAAGCCTTTTTCCAAAGGAGCTCTTTCAGAAAAAGGCTTCTTCCTCATAGAGAGAGGTTTAAGGGAAAACCCCTCTATTCTTTTGATTTTTTTCCCAAAAGAATGCGATTGCATTGTGGACGTAAGTGAAGTTTTTTCAGAAAATCATCTGTTTTTCTGAAAAAACTCTGTAGTGTAAGACATTGCCTAAGAGTTTGGAGTGTGGGATCTGAGCTAAGGGAGTGAGATGAGGTGTGGGAGGGGTGTGTGGATCTGGGGAAAGAGGGTGACATGCTGCTTACATGGTGACTTATCTGAATATTTAACTAGCAGTATTGGTAGTACAAATACAGAGAACTATTTAGAGCAGGGCAGGCCGGCTCGCCAAGCCTTTTAATCCAGCCTGCAGAATTCCTAGCCAGGACTTTTGGCTTCAAGTTGCTCAATGCAACTGACATGTGGCTCTCTGTGCTGTGCACAGGGAGGGGGGAGCTTCATGCACTGCCCCCGCCTCCTTCACCCAAAGTCCCTTTCAGACCCTACACCCTGGGTTGATCTAGACTGCAGGCTTCTTTCAAAAAAGGCTTTTTCAGAAGAGATCTTCCAAAAAAATTCTTCCGAAAGAGAGCGTCCACCTGCCAAAGTGCATCAAAAAAGTAATCTCCTTTTCAAAAGATGGCGTCCACACTGAATGGATGCTCTCTCGCATATAAGCTGTGATTACTATGGATGGAGTGGCCACCAGGGCACCTGTGCTTTTTCCTCTTTCCTCTTCTTTTGAAAGAACTCCCTCTTCCCCATCCACACATGCTTTTTCTGAAAGAGCTCTTTCAGAATAAGGCTTCTGTTTCATAGAAAGAGGTTTATCAATGTCAGGAAAACACCTGCATTCTTTCGATTTTTCTTTCTAAAGAATGCAATAGCAGTGTGGACATAAGTGAAGTTTTTTTTCAGAAAAACACCCGTTTTTCCAAAAAAACCACCTGCAGTCTAGGCACACCCTCTCTCCTGCCCCCCAGCCTCTTATCCTGAGCTCCCTTCTGTACCCTTGACCACTTACTGAAATCTTGGTGTGGCCCCTTATAAAAAATTATTGCCCACCCCTGGTTTAGAGTCTCTGTCATTGTGATGCTTTGATAAATGCATGAGAAACATGGATGAACATGCAGAATACTAGAGGGGATAGACAGAATAGCTAAATTCTGCTTTCAGTTACACTGATGTAAATCTGGAATAACTATTTATTTAAGGGAAATTTAGAGATTATATAGGCCATAGAAAATTTACAGTTTTACACATGTTAAATTTACTGTATGCATTTTGAGTTGCCAAATTTATAAAGGTAAATATTTTAATCAAAATAAAATACCTACTTGAGAGATGTTTCACTTTTGCAATGAAGTTTACTTTAAATGTTAACTGTGACTTGAAATAGCAGATGCATGTTTTATGAGCAAAGGGGAAGAAGAATACATTTAAATTTGTAGCAATTTATCTCATTAAGCTACTGTCACAATATAATTGCTGCACATTTCATAAGATCAGGCATGAAATAATTGTATCTAAGCAGATTAGAGAATAGACAGACTGTAACTATGTCCTGTAAAATCAGAATAGATTTTTGTGTGTGTGTGTTCTTAAAGAGTCCTCTAGTGGCTAAATAAAACATTAAACTATTTTTCCTCTCTGTCTCTTGTTCTGGTGGTAACTGATTCTGCTTGGAGTGTTTCAGGCATTTTTTTCTACATTTGTAATTCAGCTAATCTGATTTGATTATTGTTTTCTAAAATTCAGAACATTACCTTATCTGTGATTAACTGTTTTCTAATAACTGTCAAAATATCCTAGATATGATCCTAAAACTGACACATGGACAACAGTGGCACCTTTAAGTGTACCACGTGATGCTGTTGGTGTCTGTCCTCTTGGGGACAGATTGTATGCAATAGGAGGCTATGATGGACATGCTTACTTGGACACTGTGGAATCTTATGATGCACAAAATAATGAATGGACAGAGGTAATCTCCTTACTATATAGTTTAGATATGTGAGTGTGTGTGTGTGTGTGTGTGTATGTCCATTTGTTCAAGAATTCCTCCTAAACTATGAGAGCTAGGACCATCAAATTTGGTATTCAGCTTCCTTTTTATCCTAACTTAAAGCAAGGTCAGGATTTGGTTGTTCCAGGACAATGGGATATGCCTGGAATTTGATTGTTTCTCAAAAAATGGAAACAAAACTTTAAAAAAACAACGAACAGTTCTGCAGCATCTTAGAGACTAACAAAATCATAAATGGTATCATGAGCTTTTGTGGGCACAACCCACTTTTTCAGATGGTCTGGCAGGAGGGACAGGGACAGTTATACTGCAGAATGACTGGGGGGGGAGGGGCGCAACACATGTCCAGAGATGGGAACTGGGACAGCTATAACCCCTTTGGGCCAGGAGGGGGCAACGGTGGAGAAAGGGACAGTTATCAACTATATATTTTGTTTGTGTGTCTGTCCATCCTCCAGCTGAGGGACTTACACCTCTCCCACTGCTGTGCCCACTGCAGCAACCATGGACAAGTGCTTCTCATCTGACCCCAAGATGCTACAGTGAGAGAGGGCTGAAGTAGTCCTCTCTCCCAGGGCAGCCTGCATACTGAACCCCTCGTCCCCACTCTTGAACAATGACTTAAATGAAGAAAAACAAAACTTATTTGAGCTAAGGGCCCAGCAACACTGGGTAAATCTTCTATATTTTTTAGAGAGTTTGTTTGTCCATTTGATCAAGAACTCTTCCTAAATGACAAGAGTTAGGACCACCAAATTTGGTAAACATATCAAGAACTCTTCCTAAATGACAAGAGTTAGGGCCACCAAATTTGGTAAACATATACTCTTATCATAACATAAAGCAATGTAAGAATTTAGTAGTGACAGGAATATGGGATGCCTAGAATGGGATTGTTTCTCATAAAATCAAATAGTAAAGAGGCAGAAATACCAAATCAAGTACAGTCCTCAAAACTGACATAATTGAAAGAGTGATGAAAGAGACTGAAACCAAGATGAGCCAGAAAAATAGGATGAACCTGGAAAGTAACATCTGACAACATTAAATTCATGCTATATTTAAAATTTAACATCAAGTTAATTTCCAAATAAAAATTATATTAAGATGGAGTTACTATTGAAAGCATACATTAATAATTTACAATAACACAATATATGGAAATGATCATCTGAAAACCCAGTATTATGAATGTAGGAAATTTAGAGCATTAAAAGAAATCAAAGCATTTTGACATTTAGCAGTCCACAGTTAAAACACAAACAACTTTGACTTTGCTCTGTATTGACATTGTGCAATGTGCATACAATTATCATGAATGTATATTAGCATTTGTGGTCCCTAATTAGATAAAACTGATTTTTAAAGACAGGTGAGGTTGTTTTAATGTTCCTTAATATACAAACAAGTTCACACTTTTTTTCCTCAACATTGGGATCTGATCACACTTCTGCTGGCCTTAGTCCTATGCTCTGTTGAACATAAGAATATTACTGAGATCATATGCTAATTAACACAATCCTCCCCCCTTTTCCAAGCAAGTGTAAGCACAGCCATTTTCAGAATATGGTGAGCTGAACAACTTAAGTATAGTCTGCAGTTGTTTGATCACAGTAATGATTTGCCATTTAGCTGTATTATGTCTCTACATATTGTGCACTGTAATTATGGAACTTTACACAATGCTAATGTGCTGAAACAATCTACAATATTTTGGAACATACAAGAAAAATGGCAGAAAAATGATAAAATATCAATAAAAACAGCTTTAATTAATGAAATCTATTTGCTCCCCTCCTATCAACTACAGTGAAAATAGAATGGAAGGGTCAAAGCAAATACTCTCACTTTATAATGAACCTACAAATTCTTTGAGTTCTATCTTTGTTCCTAAAAGTTAAATTCCATGTAGATTCATTGCATTCTGTGGAATTTTACTTATTGTTCAGAATACTGAATCTAATCATAGATTTAATATTGTTTTGATTACTAACAGATTTTTTTTAAGGTCTACTCAACTTTATAACTTCCAGACAGTGGCTTTCAACCTTTCCAGAATACGGAACCCCTTTTAGGATACTAAGTGCTTACAAAAATCAGACAAAACCACAAAAGTATCACAGCACGCTATAACAGAAAAATTACTTACTATCTTAATTTATTTTATGACTATAAGGTACAAATAATTGTAATATAAATACTGCATTTCAGTGTACAATATCAGAGCAGCATAAACAAGTCATTATCGGTATGAAATTTTAGTTTGTACTGAATTTGCTATTGATTTCTAGGTAGCCTGTTGTAAAACTGGGCAAATATCTAGATGAGTTGATGTACCACCTGGAAACTACTGTATACACCACCCAGGTACACATACCACTGGTTGAGAACCACTGTTCTAGACCAAATCATAAATGGTTTTTAGTTGTCAGAGATCCTCTTGGCTAGCATGTTCCATGCTTCTGGACCACAGGAAACTGTGTACTCGCTCCAATAACAACTAAAAAGTCCTGGATAGCCATGAAATCATGGCATCTTTCATTAAATTATGCTAACAGCAATTTTTTTTAAAAAAAATCACTTTTGCATAGTTTTAGTTAAAGACATTTAATTATTTTACATATGCTACCATACATCTTTTTTTACATAAATCAAACTGCTTTCTTTTGAATCTTTGGGTGATAGATTACATGAAGTTAACTAAGTAGAAAAATGTGTTTCCTCCTTGTAGGAAGTGCCTGTCAACATTGGAAGAGCTGGAGCTTGTGTTGTTGTGGTGAAATTGCCATGATGGATGTCCCTGGTATGAAATAAGCCCTGACTACAGTTCCATAAAAATCATGTGACAGGAGAAGAAACAAGTTCCCAAACATAGTACAAAACTACTTTACAATCTTGCAGTTCTTGACACGAGGAACACTCAAATCTGAGCCATTTTGTGGTTTGAGCACAAAACTGAAGTTTATCTCCATTGCACAGACAGGTTTTTGCAAAACATGAATCAAATGCGACATCAATATTTTGTTACACTTGATATTCAGCAAATACAATAATATATTGAAATGGTTCAAGTTTATTACAAAACTGTACATGTTATTAATAAAATACAACAGTGGCTAAAGTGAAAGATATGTATCACTGTAAGATTTGGTATAACTTTTCTTGGCCATATCGGCAGCAATGTTAATATATTTAGAAAACAAATTCTTATTTAAGTAAATGAAAAGCTGATCCTGGATAAAAAAATGTTCAGTAATAGATAACTGTACAAGAGGCATTTGCATTTGAGAAATAACAGTGACAACAGAAAATTGCAGTAAAAATTCCTTTTAAAGTAAATTTACTTTAATTTCATCTAATTTCACAAATGAGAATGTTTAGTGATTTTCTTTAAAAAATAGAAGCAAATTAAATCAGAAAACTAATTCTACACAAAATTACAAAACTGAATTTCCAATTGTGATACTGTTTAACATTTTATTATTAAACACTATGACAGAATAATCATTTTAGCAATAAAGGAGATTAAATTTTCTAACAAATTTTTAAAAATAGCAGGCCAAAGAGTCTGAAGACATCATTCTTTTGTTACATTTGTGGCATTCAAATACAATTTTGTTTATACAAAGATAAAAAGATTGCTAATGTAATTTGTAGTATCTAAAATTGGTACTTCGATATTGCATTGATATTCACTACCATTTTGCCAGTCACACAGTCAATTTATTGCCCTCTGACTATCTGTCAGAATATATTACATACATTTGGCTTTTCTTGAAATAATCACCATGCATTAGACTTGCTGCTGGTAAAATGTTAGTGTAATTATATTCAGCAAGTATATCTTACATAATGGAAAATGTATATCATATTGATATAACAATCTATGACCTCAGCTAAAAAGTGCCAGATTCTGCACATGTCCAGTATAAAACATTGTAGTGAAGGAACATGTGCCGTGTGTAACATTATGTACCATTAAAATAAGCATGTTTACATTTTATCTGAAACCATCTAGCATGCTAAGAATGAAGGTAAATTTCACTGAATCAAGGAATCACTTGAAAAACAGTACATAATATTCAACATGAATAACATCTCTTTTATGTGCCAGGTTTTTTTTTCGTTTTTGATTATTTTTTGAGTGCTGGAATTATACATTAGGGAATGTTAACATGTATGTAAAGCATTCTACACTGTAAAACATGATATCTGAGTAGTGTCTATTTTAGCCTTTAAAACTCATTTCATTATGAGAAAAATTCAGGGTAAAATAGTGACTAATGTGCTTTATAAATATGTAGACAACTTTGGGGATGGAATGTTTCATTTTCAGAATGCTGCAATATAATATGTAGAAAAATTCTAAGATATAGCAACCATGGGATTATTTAAAAACATATTTTTAAACCTGCAAATCAATTCACACAAATTATGTTTATAGTATGGCATGCTCAATTAAAATAAATGTTAGTTTCTCTCTAGAACGTCTCTATGTAATTTCTGACAGTATTCCAACAATTGTGCTATTCTTAACTGTATGTTTTCTACCAGTACATTTTCTTTTAAAAGTAATTTTATATAGAAGTCCCAATGTTGCTCATAGTAGCAAACTTCTCTCCTCTCCTGGTAATGCTGTATCATAGGTCATGTGTTCCTTTGAGTAGGTGAAAACTGATATTTTAAGAGGAATAGAAAATTTTCCTAGCCCTCATCACACTAGGCTGTGATCTTCATCAGGGATCTGTGCTAGTCATCCTGCTATTATTCTTTTGAGATAATCTCACACTCTTGACATAACTGTACTAGGTTCAGATAATAAACCAAGATCTACTTTTCCCCTCTGTCCAAATCCTGTTTAGCAGCTTTTACCAGTCTATCCTAATATCCAAGAAGGTTATTATGATGCTAATGCAGTTAAATGAGAATCCCATTTCTATGGATGTAGAAAGGCTGTCAAGTGCTCAGTCCTTCTACATCAGGCCCACATGGTTCACTTGCAAAGAGCTAGGGGTTGCTATTTGAAAATTTTACATAGATGGGTCACTGCACACTAGGGATGTAATAAGATAACCACATACAGAGTCCATTGATAAGTCTGGGCTTATTGGTTACCATGAATGGTTACATGTAAGTTCCTGCCCTGTTCCCAGAGAGCCAGCTGCTACCCTGTGCTGCCACCCCTGTATCAGAACCCAGAGCATAGAGCAGAAGCCAGCTCCCTGGGAGTGGAGTGGGATCTAGGAGACAATATGTGATGGGAGTCAGCTTAAAAGCTGGCTTCCAGCATGCATGGGCTCCCAGGGAGCCGACTACCCCCCTTCCCCCATCCCTTGTTCTGTCTCTCAATCAGAGGCAGCAGGATAGGATGGCAGCCAGCTTGTCCATGCTGAGAGTCATCTTTTAAGCCAGCTGCCATTGTACACCGGCTCCTGGGGAGCTGGCTGCTGCTCCATGCTGAAAAAATTCAGCAGATACACAGTTAACTAAAAAAATCAGCAGTTACACAGTTATTTAATTATGCATTTTTTAACATCTCCACTGCACACATGGAATCTCACTCACTAATTGACAATTTTTAACAGATTTCAAGTCTTTAGGTTCCTAAAACCAAATAGCTGCAGATATTCATTACTTAATCATCTCACAAGAGCCTAAGCAACAATAGAGAATTTTTCTGCAAGCTAATTTTGTGTGATTTCGTCTTATTGCTATTCATAGAGGATTTAGTTTTTATAAATATTTTAAATTCTTAAAAAAATCTTAACTATGTTAGTTGCCATAATTGCCTCTTAGTGCTCTGTCATTTGATAACATGAAAGCGCTACAGAGGAACTAAAAGAGTGCTACTTGCTATTAAATTTGAAATGGAAACATGTATTCTCCACCTTCTCATGTCACATATTACTGGCATGGACTTATACTGTAATCCGGGGTAACAAAACACTTTTCTGGGCCCTGGGGGGAATTGGCTCGGAACCCTCCCCCACCCCAGAAAGAGCTGGATGGAAGGGGAGGGGCTATGGAAGGGGCTTCTGTGTTGCTAAGGCTGCAAGGCACATGTTGTCATGGGCTCTGGCAGTGATTTAAAGGGGGTTTTGCTACTGCAGCTGCTGAGGTAGAAGTGTCCAGAAGTACTGGGGCCTTTTAAATCATCAGGTTCCAGGCCAGCTGCCCCCTTTGGCCCTCCTTTTTGTTAGTGGCCCTGAGTATAATTAAACAGAATCAAATATTCACAGTTGTCTTGGGCCCTGAAAGGAGTGAGTCTTGTGACTCACCAGAACTTACAGCCATGGAGTCTTTGCAGCTAGAGGGCATGCAGCCCTTTGCTCAGAAATAGTATGTCTAGCCCACTTGCAGGAACTGTGTCAAGAGAAAGTTTTGACCTCTCAAAAGAACTACATTTATGGTGTCAAAGGCTTTGTCCAGAAGAATGTTCCAGATACTCATTAACTTCAGCCCTGTTGAAAAGGACAAAGATGCTTCTACAAAGAGGAAATAATATTTATTATATGTTAGAATGGTGTGAGGGATGAAAATCAGTAAAGGGCTCATGTAATCTTAATTCTTCCCCCTTCTCACTGCATTATGATTTAGACTTTTATTGTGATCACAATCTATTTTTCCCCCACATAATCCTTAGCTTCCTGGATGAAATGATGGACAATGCTACATAAGTGAAGCAGCTGTTAAATGTTTTTTATCCCCATCTATCTATGTGTGGGCCTGATACTTTATTTATTGCAGCTATCAAGGGATGTAAAAGGTAACAAAAAAGGTTTCCACATGCATGTTAGCAATAAGAAGGGATCAGAAAAGGTTTGGGATGCTTACTGAATGGGGAAAGTAACCAAGGGACAAATGATACTAAGCTTGGGAGAGATAGATCTGCTGGAGAGTAGGGATAAGATGCAGAGTAACCAAGACACATTGGAGAATTGGGCCAAAACCCAGCCCCACCCACAGAAGGCAGAAAGGTGGGGCCAGAAGTATAAAAGCAGGGGCTCAGAGATAAGTTGGAGCCCAGTGGCAGAGCGAGTCAGACACTCTTCCCAAGCTCCCAAGGAGAAAGACCCGACTGCCCTGCACTAGGACTGGCCTGGGCTACCAGGGCCACTGCCGGGCCCAGAAAACTAGTTTGGGCTGCTGCAGGCCCACAAGACTGGCCTGGATGGCCAGGGCCTCTGCCAGGCCCAGGAGATTGGGCTGTGCCACCTGGACCACAGCTTAACCAGGACCCAGAGCCTACTCTTGACCAGGACCCAGTGTCATTATTCCCAGCAGAGCCCAAGAAGCAGAGGCTGAGCCAGGTATATCAACGGGGGAACCAGGAAATAGCTGATCAAGTGTTGGCTGAGGAGATGGGGGTCAACTGGGCAGCACATTGCATCCAGGATCCCTGCTGACCTAGTGACCTGGTCAGCATGTTGCAGGCAGGATCCCCCCTGCCCCAGGGGCAGCTGGGCTGGGACACAGTGCAGAGGGGTGGCCTGCCGTCTCCCCTCCCACCA